TTAATTATAACCATAAAAAATACACCAAAAAAGACAGAAAAAAAGGGAGAAAAAAGAGGAGAAAAAAAAAGGAGACAATAAATAAATAAATAAATAAATAAATAAATAAATAAATAAATAAATAAATAAATATTTACCTTCTAATTTGTCTTATAGATCCATATTTACCAAAAATATCATATAATTCATCTCCATTAATTATAACCATAAAATAGACCAAAAAAGACAGAAAAAAAGGGAGAAAAAAGGGGAGAAAAAAGGGGAGAAAAAAAAGGAGACAATTAATTAATAAATAAATAAATTAATTAATTAATGAATAAATAAATAAATATTTACCTTCTAATTTGTCTTATAGATCCATATTTACCAAAAATATCATATAATTCATCTCCATTAATTATAACCATAAAAAATACACCAAAAAAGAGAAAAAAAGGGAGAAAAAAGAGGAGAAAAAAAAGGAGACAATAAATAAATATTTATTTATTTATATATTTATTTATATATTTATTTATATATTTATTTATTTACCTTCTAATTTGTCTTATAGATCCATATTTACCAAAAATATCATATAATTCATCTCCATTAATTATAACCATAAAAAATACACCAAAAAAGACAGAAAAAAAGGGAGAAAAAAGAGGAGAAAAAAAAAAGGAGACAATAAATAAATAAATAAATAAATATTTATTTATTTATATATATATATATATTTATTTACCTTCTAATTTGTCTTATAGATCCATATTTACCAAAAATATCATATAATTCATCTCCATTAATTTTGAATGGCAAATTTCGAACATAAAGAATTCTTGATACCTCAGGAGACACTCGTTGAGGTCGACCACGAATTGGTAGGAGAGGAGAGGGCTGCATTCTTTTTGCTGCTGCTGCTGCTGCTGCTGCTGCTGCTGCTGCTGATGGTGATGGTGATGGTAATGGTGATGGTAATGGTAGGGGTGGGGGAGGGAGAGGGAGAGGGAGGGAATGGTATATGAGAGGGAAATGTGGTTATGGTTGTTATGATGATGATGCTGCTGCTGCTGCTGTTGCTGCTGTTGCTGCTGCAGCACGAGCAGAAAGGGCAAGAGGAGGAATTCAGTAACAGATATGAGCAGCAAGAAGGAAAGAAAGAGACAGATATATGTTTTATTTATTTATTATAAGGAAACAAAAAAAGAAAAAAGAAGAAAAAAAGACACAAAATATATATATTTACTATTTGCACGGTAACAGCAGCAGATCTCTCCTGTTGCTGCTGCTGCTGCTGTTGCTGCTGCTGCTGCTGCTGCTGGTTTTTGCTACTGCTGTATATTATTATAATAAATAATAATATATTAAATAAATATATTCTTTTATATGATGATGAATAGCAGCAACAGAACAAAAGGCAACAAAGAGAGAAGCCTCTGCATGCAGCAGCAGCCAATGATGATCTGCTGCTGCTGCTGCTGCTGTTGCTGCTGCTGTTGCATGCATGCAAACCGACTAATAGGGCTTTTTCTCCCTTTTTCTTATATATTTATAGATAAATTTAATTAATTAGTTAATTTTATTTATTGTATAAATTTATTTATTTGTATAAGAGGGGATATGTGCTTATAAGAAATAAGAAGGCATAACAAACCCTCGATTAGGGTTTAGGGTTTAGGGTTTAGGGTTTAGGGTTTAGGGTTTACACATCGTGTCTATCACCATAACCTCATGTAAATCTATAGACATCAATACACTTCTTATCCTCCCCATGTAGGAGGTTTGAGCCCAAGGGTTTAGGGTTTAGGGTTTAGGGTTTAGGGTTTAGGGTTTAGGGTTAAGGATGTAGTGTCAAGGGTTTGGGCTTTGAACGAATTTCCTTAGAAAGGATAAATATTAGGCCCAGACAGGAGGGCATGGACTGTCAGCAGCAGCAGCAGCAGCAGCAGCAGCGAGGGATCTCCATGCTGCTGCTGGAGGCAGTATGCTGAGGTATAGGCTGCAAGGTCTGCTGCTCCTGCTGCTGTTATCAGCAGCAAATGCTTCGGCCTTCTTTGTACACCGCAGCAGCAGCAGGAGCAGCAACAGCTGCAGCAGCAGATCGAGCTGCAGCAGCAGCAGCAGCAGCAGCAGCAGCAGAGTAAAGAGAGCACCCGCTGGCTTTCTGCTGCAACGAGTCTGTTCAAGACCATCTGTGGGATGTCGTCCGCCATCTGCTGCTGCTGCTGCTGCTGCTCCAGGAGCAGCAGCAGCAACAACAGCAGCAGCAGCAGCAGCAGGTTCCATTGGGTCTGCATGCAGTGCCCATAGATACAATCGTCTCTTTACCTCTAAGTTATCTGCTGTCCCTCTTCTTCTTCGCAGCAGCAGCAGCTGCAGCAGCAGCAGCAGCAGCACCCCAAGTCCCTACCTCCTCCACAGCAGCAACACCACAACCAGCAGCAGCAACAGCAGCAGGAGCAGGAGGAGCAGCAGGAGCAGCAGCAGATTATATAGTTATAGTATAGGAGGAGGTAGCCTAGGTGAGGGTCTGCTATGGGAGGAGACACCCCATGAGGTGCGCATGCATTTGCTGCTGGATGCTGCTGTTGCTGCAGCAAGTGTCTCCTTTTTCCTTAAGGGACAATATCTTCGTGTTGCTGTTAAGGGACATAAACCATTAGTTGAAGGAACTCTTAAGGTATTCCTGCTGCTGCTGCTGCTGCTGTTGTTGCTGCTGCTGCTGCTGCTGCTGGTGCTGCTGCTGGCGGTGGTGCTGCTGCTTTGACTGGTGCTGCTGCTGTAACTTGGGCTATGGATGCTTGGCCTCGTGCTGCTAGTGCTGCTGCTGCTGCTGCTGCTGCTGCTGCTGCATTGCTACAACTAGTAACACCACTACTATTACTAATACTGCTGCTGCTGCTGCTGCTGCTGCTGCTGCTGCTGCTGCTGCTGCTGGTGTCTCCTATAGGGTCGTGTGGATGAATCGGAGTGTTTATGGTATATAGAGCCATACAATCCTCCTAATCAGCATCATCATCCTCTGCAGCAGCAGCAGCAGCAGCAGCAGCAGCAGGGGGAGGCAGCAGCAAAACAATTAACAATAATACTCAAGAAACATAAGGGGACAGGAGAACTTTCTTTTGCTGAGGGCAGCGGTGCTCATTGGGGTGCTGTATTCAAGGAGACAGAAGCAGCACAATCTGCTGCTGCTGCTGCTGCTGCTGCTTATAAACCTCTTACTACAGGAGGAGAGAAAAAATACAAACCCTCATCCCATGCAAGGTCAGGGTTTAGGGTTTAGGGTTTAGGGTCTGGAATTTAGGGTTTAGGGTTTAGGGTCTGGAGTTTTTTAGGGTTTAGGGTTTAGGGTTTTCTGGTGTATGTGCAGAAACCCTGGATCGATCTTAGCGGAGTTGGCGATTCCTCCCGTGTTATTAGGGTGTCATCCTTCTTCTCCTCCTCCTCAGCAGCAGCAGCAGCAGCAGGACCAGCAGCAGGAGCAGCAACAGCGGGAGGAGCAGCAGGAGAAGGAGAGGGACTTAATGCGTAAGGGTTTAGGACTATTAGATGCATGGGCGCATGCACGTCTGCTGCCGGAGCAGCAGCAGCAGCAGCAGCAGCAACTGTCCCCTAACTTTGGTGTACCGGAGACAGTTTTGCTGCTGCACTCAGAGCCATTACCTGATGGTGTGCTGCTGCTCTTTATGAGTCCTGCTGACCGCAGCAGCAGCAGCAACAGCAGCAGCAGCAGCAGCAGGTGGGAGCCGCAGCAGGAGCAGCCATGGCCACAGAATGAGGGCGTAGAGTTGCGTCTAGCATTTAGCGATGCCCGCCACCACACCCAGCAGCAGCAGCAGCAGCAGCAGCAAGGGCAGCAGCAGCAGCAGCAGCAGCAGCAGCTGAATATAGTAGCTATACGCCGATCTGTAGGTGCAGCAGAATTACATAAGTATGGTGTTGAGGTGTATAGGCACCTCCAAGACACAGAGGAAAGAATAATAAGGAAATTAGAGCAAGATCTTGCTGCTGCTGGTGCTGCTGCTGCTGCTGCTGTTGATAGAGGTACATTACCAGGACATGGTAATAAACAACTGCAGCAACTGCAGCAACAGCAGCAACCGCAGCAGCAAGAAAGGGCTGCCTACGAGCACCTTAAACAAAGAGAGCAGCAGCAAATGAATGCTCCCCTTCCGGGTCCCCCCCAACCTGTGGGGGGCCCCCAAGGGGGGGTACGGGGGCCCCCCAAGGATAAAGTAAAGGTTGTTGGGTCTTATCCTCCCATTGAGCCAGAGGAAGAAGAAGGGGAAGAAGAAGACATACAACTGCAGCAGCAGCAGCAGCAACAGCAGCAGCAGCAGCAACAACAGCAGCAGCAGCACGGGGGTTCTCATTGCTGCGGGAATGGACCGCATAACCATCACCACGGAGATCAAAGCAGCAGCAGCACCAACAACAACGAAGACAGCAGCAGCAGCAACAGCAGCAGCAGCAGCAGCAGCAGCAGCACGAAAGACGAGAGAGCAGCACTAAGGGAGAAGTTAGGTATTGAGTTATTAGATCTTAGCTCTAAGACAGCACCAATACCTTCATTCATGAATAATTGGACACCAGAGGTTTGCTGCTGCTGCTGCTGCTGCTGTTGCTGCTGCTGTTGCTGCTGCTGTTGCTGTTGCTGTTGCTGTTGCTGCTGGTGGTGGTGGTGGTATGGCTGGTGCTTGTGTTGGTGTTGCTGCTGCTGCTGCTCTTCCTGGTGCTGTTGATGCTTCTGTTGTTGCTTTCCTTACAAGTGTCATTACTGTTGCTGCGGTTGCTGCTGTTGCTGCTGCTGCTGCTGCTGCTGCTGCAGCGTCGTCGTGCCTTCCAAGAAGATACAGCAGACAGCGTAGCAAAACGGCTGCATGCAGCCCTGTCTCCTCCGCCTCAGCTAACATTTGCTGATGTTGAGCTGCTGCTGCAGCAGCAGCTCAACTGTACAGCAGCAGAGTTCAAGGAAGTATGGCAAGGAGGGTACGAGAAGTGCGAGCAGCAGCAGCAGCTGCTGCAGCAGCAGCTTAAGCAACCCCACCATCAACACCATCAACTGCAGCAGCAACTGCAGCAACAGCAGCAACTGCAGCAAGGAGATGGGGCGAGCGCAGCAGCAGTAGGACAAAGACAGCAGCAAGTTGCTGTCTTATATGTACAGCAATTAGAGGAGAAGATAAAGGAAGCAGCAGGAGCAGCAACAACACACGAAGCAGCAGCAACAGCAGCAGCAGCAGCAGCAGCAGCAGCAGCAGGTAGTGATGAAGTAGCAGAACTACAAGCAGCAGAAGGAGACGATACAAGAGAAGAAGGAATAAAAAGGAGACAATTTATTGTTGATCCTTTTGCTCTACCTAATGATGATGTGTCTCCTCCTAATGAGATCTATAATGTACCCAACCTAGAAGGTAAACCCTAAACCCTAAACCCTAAACCCTAAACCCTACAGTTGTGGGGAAGATGAGTGGCTCCTTCTACTGCCTCCTTGTATTCCTGTTTCCTTTTATCTAACTGTCTCCTATTACTCCCTCCTTTCTCTGTCCCCCCTCTCCCCCCGCCTTATGTGTCTCCTTCTTTCTAGCTGTCTCCTTTTATTATCTAAGTGTCTCCTTTTAGCTAAGTGTCTCCTCTTATCTAACTGTCTCCTTTGTCTGTCTCCTTTTTGTGTCTCCTTTTTCTTTAGAGGTCTCCTTTTAGCTAAGTGTCTCCTCTTATCTAACTGTCTCCTTTGTCTGTCTCCTTTTTCTGTCTCCTTTTTGTGTCTCCTTTTTCTTTAGAGGTTCCCCTTCATCGTCGTTATTTAACAATGAGTGACGAAGAAAAAGAAAAAATATGCAAAGAGAGACAGCAAGAAGTAAGAAACCCTAAACCCTAAACCCTAAACCCTAAACCCTTATTGCTATGGATGTAGCTGTTTATACACACCAAGTAAGAGCAGCAGAAGCAACACAGAGTTTAGTAGGGCCTCCTCTATAGAGAGAAACAAAGAAAAATCCATATATTAAGATTTTAGGGTTTAGGGTTTAGGGTTTAGGGTTTAGGGTTTAGGGTTTAGGGTTTAGGGTTTATGTCCAGATAGCTCGATTTGATTTATTAATATCTGAATTAGAGGCACAAAAAGATCGCAATGAATGGCTACTTATCTGCGAACAATATAAGTAAGTGTCTCCTTTTTTTATATATACTGTCTCCTTCTTTTTTTTGTTTTTTATTAACTGTCTCCTTTTTTATTTACTGTCTCCTTTTTTATTTACTGTCTCCCTTTTTATTATCTGTCTCCTTTTTTATTAACTGTCTCCTTTTTTATTAACTGTCTCCTTTTTTATTTACTGTCTCCTTTTTTATTTACTGTCTCCTTTCTCCTGTCCCCTTCCTCTGTTATCATATATTCGTGTCTTCTGCTACTGTTGCTGCTGTTGCTGCTGCTGTTGCTGCTGCTGCTGTTGCTGTTGCTGCAGGGACTTGCTGCTAAGTGAGTGGTATTTCTTACTCTTAACAATCCGTCTCCTTCGTGTCCCTCCTATCGCCACCACCCCCAGCAGCAGCAGCAGCAGCAGCAGCAGCAGCAGCAGCACCCCCAGCAGCACCACCCCCAGCAGCACCACCCCCAGCAGCAGCAGCACCACCCCCAGCAGCAGCAGCAGCAGCAGCAGCAGCAGGAACAGTACTACTACCTGGGCAATAGAGGAGAGGGAGCGTTTATTATATATAAATAGATTTGTCCTTTCCCTTTATGAGGATTTATCTGCTATTATGCATGCAAACGGAGAAACACAACTAAAAAAAATTCGTCTCCTTTGTCTTAAGGCTATACACGAACCAGATAAATTAAATGAATATGTAAGGAAAAAAAAAAAGGAAAAAAAAAGGAGACACTTATTATTTAATTTATATTAGGGGGAGAGGGGGAATAGGGGGGAAGGAGACACTTCTATTAAGGTATTAATAAGGGGGGGAAGGATATAGGTTTATAACGGGGCAGAAGGGGAAGGGAAAAAGAGACACATCTGTCTCTCTCTATCTGTCTCCTTTCTATGTGTCTCCTTGTTGCGTCCTTTTTTTTTTGTCTCCTTTTTTTCTTAGTGTCTCCTTTTTGTCTCCTTTTTTATTAACTGTCTCCTTTTTTATTACCTGTCTCCTTTTTTATTAACTGTCTCCTTTTTTTATTAACTGTCTCCTTTTTTTATTAACTGTCTCCT